TCTTTGGTTGACTTGCTAAGATCCAAATCCCCAGATTTTCTAATGTCCAGAGAATAATTTTCTACTATAACAGTTTTTAAGTAAAATTCATGGACCCCCTCAGGCAGTGGTCTCAAACTCCAAAATGCAGAAACCTCAACTGAGACACTTGCTTAAAAGGCATCTGGTGATGGCCAAGGAATACTCATTTTTAACAATTCAGGAGGTCCTGGACCACAGTGCCTTATGTGAACCTTGATGGGCTTCAGGTGGTTCTGTTTAGCCCTGAAACAATGACTACATAGATTTTTTTTCAATGACAGGTCCATAGGGACTTAGGAGACTTTGCTTAGTTTCTCAAAGGGGTCTGTAGAATACTATGATGCTGTTAGGAGCAGTAGTTTGTAAGTGGAAGCAAATACTGGTACAATCAGTCACATAGCCAGCAAGAAGAACCCTTTGCTAAAGATCTAACAATGGGAGGAAAGACTACAAGGCAGAGATAAATACTTGAGTAGTGCCCTATACAACCCTGCTGTTTGAGAACATCCCAAAAGTTAATAGATTTGTTGGAGAATTGGTGTCCATTGGTCAAAAAAGTTTGAGAAATATTGTTTTTTAATTTACATTATTATGAAATTAAATAGATTTTAATATGCTTATTTGTGTTGTGGGTCTCTTTAAGTAGTATTTAGTATATAGTGATTCCTAAACCTATTTGATCATAGAATCCTTGTCAAATGAGTTTTGAGAAATGCCCTTTGATAAGAGACAGACATTCATCTTTCAGTGCAGCATGTAAAAAATCCTTTATCATAACTCTGTCATGAAGAAAAATTTTAATTGTGTTCTAAATACTAAATAATAATAAAGCAGGGAATCTTAGAAAAATTTTTATGAAAATGGAGGGTGGAGAAAACTTTGAACGTGGAGTTATTCATTGTCAGTTAACGGTAAACCGAAGTCTTACACTAAAATGGAAATGTAACTTTTATCTATAATATTATTAGGATTTAGAAGAATTTTTTATTTGTTTAGAATCATAGAGCTCATCCTATAGCAATGATTGGTGGCCAGCTAAACATAGTTGCCTGTGGATAAACCTGTATGTCCAAAGTTTCTTGAAGGAAGACACTCATATAATGTTTAGGAAAAAATAAATAAAGGCCAGATTAGTTTAACAGGGAAGGTGAATTGATTGTATCCAGATAAGATTTTCTGGGGAAGTGAGTTGGAGGAGAGGAACAAACAGAATGGTGGGGAGAGATTAATTGAGTGAAAGCAAAAGTAAAGGGGGAAACTCTTTCCTTATTTTGTTGATAGTGAAGAGTCTGAGGAACAGACAAAATAGATATGTGTAGGCAAATAGAAATTATGAGCTAAGATGTGATGATTAAAACTCTAGTCCTCTGAGATATTTATGGGGAAAATAAGACAAGTTTGGGCTATGCTAGTCCATCCTCTGTGTTTAATTTTCCTTAAATGGACTTTCACAAAATGAGTTTATCACAGAATTATTTTTCCATAAATTAAGAACTTTCACAATAGCCCTTGGGAGAACACTGAGCTAATAGTAATAGGAAATAAGGACTACTAATTAATGGACTTCTACCATTAATCATTGCTTCTTTGGGACAAAAATGATTAGATTTAGGTCACACATATTATTCTATCCTCTTTCGTTATGAAGTTATAAAGATGAATTGAAATGGCTTCAGCATTCAATATTGTTAAATTTCTGGAATACAAGACTATTCTAAATCCAGATCATGAAGGTAAAACCTCTTCATATAGTATCCTCAGACCCTACATAATTTTTTTAATGTTTATTTTGAGAGAGAGAGAGAGACAGAGAGAGAGACAGAGCCAAGCAGGGAAGGGGCAGAGAGAGAGAGGGAGACAAAGAATCCAAAATAGGCTCCAGTCTCTGAGCTTTCAGCACAGAGCCCGACCCAGGGCTCAAACCCACTAACCACGAAATCATGACCTGAGCTGAAGTCAGACACTTAACCGACTGAGCCACCCAGATGCCCAAACTTACATAAATTTTAAACAAGTAGCACTGTTAGGTTAGAGCATTTTGACCCTCAAAGATTTTTTAGGAAGGCATGTGCTTCTTTGCTTACCTTATAAACCAAATAGTTGTAATGAGAATGGAGCTACACACAGCCTTCTTATTTTTCTAGCTAAACTATTGAAGAATGAGGAAGAATTCTTCAAGTCTGAAAATTTGGCTTATAAATATTTAGTTCCAAACGAACACCTTTAAGATTTAGAAGGTTAGGAGAGCCTGGGTGGCTCAGTTGGTTAAGCATCCGACTTCAGCTCAGTTCATGATCTTGCAGTTCATGAGTTTGACCCCACATCAGACTGTCTACTGTTAGCACAGAGCCCGCTTTGGGTCCTCTGCCCCCCCCGCCCCCGACCTTCCCCTTCTCAGACTGTCATTCTTAAAAATAAATAAACATTAAAAAAAAAAAAAAAGAATTAGAAGGTTAAACCAGCCCCTTCAACCACAGGAGCAAATCCTAAAGAAATCAAACAGGCAAAATGAGAGTCAAGCAGCAACTAAATCATTCACAATATATTTATTCTCTTTTCATTTTTGAGTCATGATTTTCATGGCAAAACCTTAGTTACATGCTGATTGTCCGTGTTTGGGTTCTCTGGCATGGCTGTGGGAAAATGAGAGGTATGAGCAGGGCTGTTTAGAGGTAGACTTTAATGTATGTGGACCTAACATCAATTTAGAGATAAAATTGTTTTTGTAGTCACTCATGGATTTTTTTTTAAAGCCTTTAAGAACAAGACTAAATTTGGGGCGCCTGGGTGGTTTAGTCGGTTAGGCGTCCGACTTTCGCTTGGGTCATGATCTCGCGGTTCGTGGGTTTGAGCCCCACGTCAGGCTCTGTGCTGACTGCCAGCTCAGAGCCTGGAGCCTGTTTCAGTCTGTGACTCCCTCTCTCTCTGACCCTCCTCTGCTCACGCTGTCTCTCTCTCTCCTAGAAATAAATAAAGCATTAAAAAAAAAATAAAGAACAGGACTAAATTCCACTGTTTAAGTTGGCTGACAGGGTCTCTCTCAAATTATCTACAAAGGTACCATGACATTTTTTGTCCTCAGTGAAAACCTCTATCATATGGTTACAAGTCTGATTCCAACATTTTAAAATTTAACTGAAGTGAAGTGGATTACCCATTAACCTGTCACATTTTTGGAACCTTCCTTTTAAATTCATGTGATGAAGGTAATCTTTTTCACATGGAATCACCAGACCTTACATTATTTCTAGAAAACAGTCTCAGTGTTTTCTCACCAAAGGGACTGTATGCTTACTTTACAAGAGTTTGCAAATTTTCGAATTTGTCATTAAGCCTCAAGACATTCTTAAACACCACATATGTTTTAAGTGACATTAATAAAGGAAGAATTCTTTGAATCTTTGAAAACTTGGTCCACAGTACCACTTGGTAAGGTTAGTTCTGTTCTCCATATGCTTAAAATTTAAGATATTTTTCTGTATTCCAATAGTAGTGTGATGCAATTATAAAAGAAGAAAACATTAATTATAAAACGGAAAAATCAATCTTCATTTATTTTAATGTTTTGTTCTTATGAAAGCAATGCTATCACCATTACTTAGGCGGAAGTTATTTTTAAACATGATTTCATGAATTATGTATTCTAGATTCAACAATTAAGTTGCTCCTTTTTAATGAAATAGGAGGAATGCTTCTAAAGTCTTGAAACTCCTCTGTTTTGTCTAGTCATTTTTTCTTTTAAGTTAAATTTGTATTTTAATTTCAGATTTACAAAAATTATCCAGATTCTTCAAATGTTACTCATTTACCACATTTCCACCTTTGCATTCACTCTCTCTGGAAACTATTTTTTTCCTGAACTGAGCATAGTTACAGACATTTATCCTTATATAATTCACTATATTTCTTAAAAACAAAGATATTCTCTTTCATAATCACAGTATAGTTATCCATATCAGAATATTACCAATCATGGAATAAAAGCACCAGATTGAAGACCTTACTCAGATTTCACCAAATTATCCCAATCATGTTCTTTATAATAAAATAAAATAAAATAAAATACTGATCATGTATTGATTTCAGTTATCATGTCTTTTTAAATTCCTTTTGACTAGAACATTTCCTAGTCTGTGTTTCATGACATACCACTTTTAAAGAGTACAGACCAGCTATTTTGTACAATTTCTGTCCCTTTGGGTTTGATATTCCCTTGGGAATAGTTTCAAGTTGTGACAAACTTTTTAAAAGATAAAATTGTGTAAGATATGATTTTACAACAACCAATCACATTCCTGTTTATAACTCTGAGAATCAATCTAATTATTTAATTGTCATATTTGCATCCAACAGAATACTCATCTCCAGTTTTCCTGAAGAAAAGATTCTTTTAGGAGATTTTATATGCATCTTTTTAAAAAAAATTTTTTTTAGAGAGAGAGAACACAAATGTGAGAGTGGCAGAGGGAGAGAGAGAATCTTAAGCTAAGTGTGGAGCCCAACACAAGGCTCAATCCCATGACCCTGGGATCATGATGTGAGCCAAAATCAAGAGTCAGACGTCAACTGAGTGAGCCACTCTGGCACCCCATATGCATTTCTTTTTTTTTTTTTTTTTTTTTTTACAAATAGTTTATTGTCAAATTAGTTTTTACATAACACTCAGTGCTCATCCCCAAAGTGCCCTCCTNTTTTTTACAAATAGTTTATTGTCAAATTAGTTTTTACATAACACTCAGTGCTCATCCCCAAAGTGCCCTCCTTCATGCCCATCCCCTCCTCCCCCCCACATCCATGAGAGACTCTTGAATGCTGACAAAAACTGAGGACCCATATGCATTTCTTAAAGAACAAATTTGGTTTACTTACTGAACCTGTTAGTTTTGATGACTTATGGAAGCACATAGATTGTCTTAGTATTTACTGAGAAAACAAATAAAATGTACAAATAGAATAGTATTGATCTTCTCTTTTCACAGTTACACCTGAATGCTCACAGAAAGGAAGAAACATTTTCCTCTCCATAGATGAACTCAAATTCTTAGCACAGCTCATAAAATCCTTTTTGAAGCTGGAAAAAAATGTTGAAGAATTATTGGAAGAAATATTTGTATCACTCAAGACACCCAGAATTCCTTCAGGTAACATGCTCCTTTGTTTAAATTTGTAAACCAACTCTTCTCTCTGTTTTCACTTCCTGCCACTAAATCTATACCATTACTTGAAAAAAAATGCATGATAGACTCCTTTAAATAAATACTAAATATAATGCACACCATAGAATTACATTTTTATCCTTTATATGTGGCAAATTCCATAATTCTAATTAACAAAGCATTGAAAGTCAATTCTGGATAATGATCTTTAGATAAAATCAGATTTTTTTTTAAAATTCAGGAAAACACGGCCTGGCCTAAGGGGAAAAAGCAAGCATACTGGATGATCTAGTACCTCCTTTTTTACTAGCCACTGGATGACCTTAGGCATAATATTTTGTTTCTTTAGACCTCTGTTTTCTCATCCTCAAAATGATGATGTAGGACTAAACTAACTTTCTCTTTGTTTGTTGTTACTATTACATGCTTCAAATCTCATTATGTTATGTAGAGTTGTGAGAATTCAATGATTTAGTGTATATATTTAAAAGAATGTCTAGTAGGTCACAAACAATAAATGTGAGCAGTTATAAAGGTAATAATAGTTATATAATGTGTTGTTTTAAGTTTAGTCTTAACAAAATCTTTTTGAAGAAAAACTATGCCACCTATGTTGAAATAATGTTTCTAGATATAAAAGCCTAGATAGTTAAAATATGTTCTCTGTGTTCATATCTATACTTACAAATATTTTCATCTGTATCATAATAAACTATTACAAAGTTCTCTTTTGCATGATACCATACATCATGTTAAGGACAATAAATATAGCTTGTGGCTGCATTTGCAAAATGATGTGAGGGAAACGAACAATTAACAATCAATCAGAAAATTTCAAAACCCCATTTCTTTGTAAGAAATCACATCTACTTTAATATGTTTACTTGCGCATTTCTTTACTTAATTTGCCTGGGTAAATAGTATTGGAAAAGTTATAGGGTTTCAGTTTCTTTCATATTAAGCATAGCTTAACCTCTTATGTGTCAGATTACACTTACGTAGCACTATATGAAATTATAAAGTAAAGTAGATCATTTTATCAAGTTTGGTAACAATTTGAAGAAAAATGGAGGTGGATTTCAGGTTTCTAAAAGCTGCCAAAAAGTTTAATAGGAAAATAATAAAAATATAAAAACAGAAAACATGAAAATTAAAAGACAATGGAAAAGTAGATTTACTTAGGAGATAATATGAACCCTTCTAGATGTAACTGACTGGGGCAGTGAGATGTGAAGAGATAAATATGACATTGTAATTTATTATGGAGATGTTGATGCCTGAAGCAGCTGACAGTTGGTATTGATCCTCATCCACCATGGTTGGCTAAGACGTTGCATCTCTCATCCACATCTCTAGCAGATCGTTCTGAAGTGTGGATCAAGAAATAGAGTGGACTCCAACAATACAGACTCTTACCTCTTTGGACTACAATATTGGTCCTACAATAGGCTCTAGAGAAATTAGGTGGATTTTACGAACTTTATTCCTTTAAAGAGGAGCATACATTCAAAATCAGAATTGTATTAGAGAAGTATTATAAAGATACAAACCTAAATGGCCAATGATTGAAGCAGAGGTTTGATGTACTGATTTCAGAATAAAAGGAGAAAAAGAAAAAGCTGGTTCAACGTATTCGGATTAAGACCAAGCAATGTTGAGACCTGCAAATACTACATATTTGAGAGAAATAGTTACCATCATAGAATAAAATCAACAGAGAAAATACATAATTATGCTACAATACACTGCCTTACCCAAATTTGTCACAATACAAGCAGTATGGCAGATAAAAGTAACTGAAGTTCACATTAATAAGAATGCATTATAAAAACACAGTTGTGGGTTATGGAACATAGTCTGTGGAAGGAATTTTGAAAGGCAGATATAAGAAATGTCTTAAGTACTAGACCATCCCCTTGTGATATATGTGTTCTTCATTGTTGAAATTCATATTTTTTATAACAAAGCTAAGATTGATTTAATCTGACTATATAAATGGCTCCCTGAAAAGAATGATCTTGAGGGGAAATTGTCAAGAAAAACTTAAATGTTTTATTCAGTACAGCCAAGTTAATCAATTCTTATCAAAACCATGGTTTTTTTTTTTTTAATCAGGAAGGAAAAGATTCCTTGAAATGGATGATTAAAGAAACCAAATGCATCTTAAGTTATCCTGATAGTTAAGGGTTTGCTTGAAAATCTTGTGTGGGAGGGCATAGCAAAAAAAAAAAAAAAAAAAAAAAAAAATCAAGTCATTTGGTTTCCTGTGTATTTCTTTTGATTGGAGCATATTTTGCTAATAAAAATCTTGGAAAGAGTTGCCTACTATGTCCATATAACCAAAACAATGTGATGAAAGTGAGGTTTTTTTTTCTTATTGTCCAGATGTTTTAAAAATATCCAGGTGCTTAACATCATATAGAGAAAATATAAAGATGATTAACTAAATTTTTTACTTTTTACTTTGATGTTTACCATTATATCATCAATTTAGCTAAATTGTCTGTACTCTTAGTAATTTGAATATGATGCAATAGATTTTGTAGAGACATAAGAAGTATTTTCAGAGAAAGAAAAGCTATTTAGTTATTCTTTGCTTTTTCTGTTGTTATTATTTGTTTTTTTGTCATGACTTGATGGTTTTATTTTGGTCATTTCAGTAAATGATAGCACATTATTTGACTATAATGGTGCCTTACTGTATTTCTTTTAGGTGATCATATCTTCTGGAGTGCCTCGGGTTTGATTTATGGGGCACTTCTAATGCTCCTTTGGAATAAAGTTGTTCTCCGGGCAGTTCCTCAAATTTTCCAAAGGTGGCATCTGAGATTTATCTAAACCAGGAGGTTTCTTGGCCCTCATTTTTCTTTAGCCCCAGCAATGACAAAGAGCAATGGCTGCTTCAATTGGATGTAAGAAGAACACTTAGGGTTTGTCTCAGAAGAATCAAAGATTTCAGATCTTCTGAAAGATTGTTTGTACTCTTAGGGGGTCTTAAGAGGGGTCAAATGGCTTCTAAGAGTTCCTTAGCTAGATGGTTAAGGGATTGTATTAGGGAGGCGTATGTAGTTAAGGTAAAGAGGCTCCTAGGGTTTGTAAAGCTCATTACACTAGGACTTTAGCTGTTTCTTGGGCAGAGAGGTCGAAGGCTTCCACATTGGAAATTTGCAAGGTGGCCACCTGGGCTTCTCTTCATACTTTTTCATAGTATTATCTCTTGGATGTAGTCTCTTCCACAGATTCAGCTTTTGGTGGGAGGTTGCTTGTGAGCCAGAAAAGAACAGTGAAGAAAAGAAAGACTTGTAGTTCCCACTTAGAGCTGCCAACAAGGCAAGTTGCTTTGTAGTGCACACAATGGGAGCCTATGAAGACCAATTTGGGTGTGAAAGTGGATGTCACAGGGAAGTACTGCCAACCTCTACTCTCTATGAAAGAAAGCGACAGTGTGGAAACTAACCAGAAATGTAAAATGAACCACAGCAAACTCTTTAGGGAGAGACTGTTTAGCAGCTGGCATTCCTGTGACCCTCTGCACTCTACTGAGGTCCTTAATCTGGGCGTGCTTGTAAGGAAAGCAGTGTTGACTGTATACAAATAACTATTTTAGAGTGATGAGCCAAAAATAAGCTACTTCTCTAGACAATGCTAATAGGTGAATAGAGTTTTCAATATATATTTAAATAGGTTAAATAATTCATCACATGTTCAAAGAGCCCATAAAGTTTGACAATGCCAAATTTTGATGTTGACCATTTTGAATTTCAGACCAATGCAAAGATGCCATTATTCACTAAAACCAGAAGACATATTATTAGTCTAGAAACCGTCCTACTAACACTGCCTTAAAGTGATACCTTTTGCTCTTTATATAGGATTAGGTTTTTATTTATTGTTTTTAGTTTTGGGGGGGAAGATCATATCTTAAAAGTTAGCATAACTGCCTCATAATTCATTTTCTATCTTACTGTAGAATTGCTTACCAGCAACAGAAGTCTTGGGAAGCTTATCTTTTTTTATTCATCTTGAAAATAGGCAAATGGTTTGTATAAACATCAAGACATATTACTTTGAGTGAATAAGCATAATGTATTTGGAAGTGCAATGGCAAATATAAGATAATTAACTTTTTTTGTAAGTCTTAAATGATAGCTGCACAATGGCAGATAGTTATCTCCAGAAATAGATCTGCAAAGCTTGTACTTTGTACTAGTGTTATTTTTCCAGAGTAAGTACCTTTATAAATTAGCTGGCTTTATGAGCTATTTGTAGAAAAGTAAGGTGACATTAAGAATCTAAGCATTGCCCCCTTACATCATGAATGATTTGATCTTTATTATTTTTTCTTCTTTAAAATTTGTTTTGAATAGTAGCCCATGCATATAGGAAAACTTTTAACAAGACAAAAGAGTAGACAGTGTAAATGAAGTCTTTTTTCACTCTAGTTGTGTAGTTTTCCTTTTAATAGACAACTATTCATCAAGTTAAAATAACATGAAATCTTGTCATACAATGCAGAGCTGCTTTTTTATTAACAGTTGTTTAGAAAGACCTCATTCTTCCTAATAGCTGGATAATTTTGGCACATGTACCATAATTTCGCCAGTTACTAATTGATGAGCATGTAGGGTTCTTTTTTCCTCTTCATTTGCTACCACAAACAATGATACAGCAAATTTCCTTGAAACTGTGTCTCATATGTGCACATGTATATCTGGCAGTACATTTCTAAAGTGAAATTGCCAAGTAAAAAAGATGGTAGTTAAGAGGATGAGAAGACAAGCCATAGACTGAGAAAGATGTTTGCAAAACACATATCTGGTAAAGGACTTATATCCTAAATATACAAAGAACTCTTAAAATTCAACAAGAAAACAACAACAACAGAAAACTCAATTTTAAAAAGAGCAAAAGGTCTGAACAGACTCCTTACCAAAGAAGATATACAGATGGCAAATAAGCATATGAAAAGATACTCAACATCGTATGTCATCAGGGAGATGCAAAGTGAAACAAAGAGATACCACTACTTACTTGTTGTAATGGCTAAAATCTAAGACAGTAACACTACCAAATTCTTACAAGGATGTGAAGCCACAGGAACTCTCACTCTTTGCTGATAGGAATGTAAAATAGTACACCCTCTTTTGAAGATGATTTCATTGTATCTTACAAAGCTAGACATTGTCTTATATGATCCAGTATTCACCTTCTCAAGTATTTACACAAATGGATTGAAAACTTATGTTCACATAATACCCAACATGTGCATGTTCTTATCAGCTTTAACATAATTGCCAAAACTTGGAAGTAACGAAGATGTTCTTTACTAGGTGAATACCTAAACAAATTGTGGTGCATCTAGACAGTGAAATATTATTCAGCGATAGAAACAACAGAGATATCAAGCCACAAAAATACATGGAGGACTCTTAAATGCATACTGCTAAACGAAAGAGGCCAATCTAAAAAGACTGCATACTATATAATTCCAATTTAATGAACTTCTGAAAAAAGCAAAAGTATAGAGATGGTAAAGAGCAGTGGTTCTCAAGGCAAGAGAAGAGGTGGGAAGAGGTGAGTAGATGGAGTGCAGGAGATCCCTACAGCAGTGAAATTACTCTATATGATACAGTAATGGTGGACATGTGACATTATGCATTTGGCAACCCATATAATACACAACAAAAAGAATAAATCCTTATTTTCAAAACGGATTACAGACATAAACCTGAGACCTGAAACCATAAAAATCCTAGAAGAGAGCACAGGCAGTAATCTCTCTGACATTAGCCATAGCAACATTTTTCTAGATATGTCTCTGAAGACAAGGGGTATAAAAAATAAACCATTGGGACTACAGCAAAATAAAAGCTTCTGCACAGCACAGGGAACAATCAACAAAACTAAAAGACAGCCTACTGAATGGGAGACGATATCTGCAAATGGCATATCAGATAAAGGGTTAGTATCCAAAATATGTAAAGAACTTACCAACTCAATATCCTAAAAACAATCCAATTAAAAAATGGACAGAGACGTGAACAGACATTTCGTCAAAGAAGACATCCAGATGGCCAACAGACACATGAAAAGATGCTCAGCATCATTCATCATCAAGGAAATGCAAATCAAAATTTATTGAGATATCACCTCGCACCTGTCAGAATGCATAAAATTTAAAACACAAGAAACAAAAAGTTTTGGTGAGAATGTGGAGAAAAAGGAACCCCCTGTACTGTTGATGGGAAGGCATACTGGTATGGTCACTGTTGAAAACAGCATGGACTTTCCTCAAAAGTTTGAAAATAGAACTACTCTACAACCCAGGAATCACATTATTGGGAATTTACCACCCCCCAAAAAATATAAAAACACTAATTCAAAGGATACATGCACTCCTGTGTTTATAGCAGCATTTTCTGCAATAGCCAAATTATGGAGGCAGCCCAGGTGTCCACTGATTGATGACTGGATAAAGAAGATATATATATATCTTATATATGTGTGTGTGTGTGTGTGTGTGTGTGTGTGTGTGTGTGTATGTATATGCTGTCTCTCTCTCTAAATAAATTTATAAAATTAAAAAATTAAAAAAATAATTCCTTAACCTAGATTTTGTTTCAGTGTTAGAATTATTTATAATACCATGTTTTTAAATGACACAATAAAATGCAAGCCATGGTGAAGGCACTTCACGTTAAATAGTGTAACACTGATCTAAAATCCTCTCTCCGTTGTGGTGTGTGTTGAGAAATGAAGCAGGATTCCTAAACTATAGTCCATAGGCCCTTGGAGCTAATGGATGCCCTATACAGGAGAGCCCGGGAATCCCCAAAAGAATATATGTGTGCATATATGTATGAAGGTGTGAGTGTGTATGTGTGCACACACCTACTATGCAGTCATATTGTGTATTTTGGCTGCAGTGTTCTGTCACTCTAATCAAGTTCTCAGAAATGTTCACAAATCCAAAATGATTAAGAAACTCCAGAGTAGGAGAGGTGGGGAGGTGGAGAAAATAGATGATGGACATTAAGGAGAGCACTTGTTGGGATGAGCACAGGGTGTTATATGTCAGTGATGAATCACTGGATTCTACTCCTGAAGCCAAGACTACACTGTGTGTTAACCAACGAGAATAAAAAATTAAAATAATAATAATAATGAAACACTGGAGTTGAGGAAAACTTTTCCTCAGAATAAAGTCTGATAAAATTTCCAAAAAGGATATTATTGTTTACCAAATGGAGTATTTACCTCTCAAAGGAATGTTTATTTATTTGCTTGTTTTTAAAATATAATTTACTGTCAAGTTAGCCAACAATACAGTGTGCTCTTGGCTTCAGGAATAGATTCCCATGATTCACCACTTACATACAACACCCAGTGCTCATCCCACCCAGTGCCCTCCTCAATGCCCATCACCCATTTTCCCCTCACCCCTCCCCACCCATCAACCCTCAGTTTGTTCTCTGTGTTTAAGAGTCTCTTATGGTTTGTCTCCCTCTCTATTTGGAACTATTTTTTTCTCCTTCCCTTCTCCCATGGTCTTCTTAACATTTCTCAAATTCCACATATGAGGAATGTTTTTGTAAATTATATTACTTAGAAATCATTCATGATTATGCTCATAGAACCACACTTAGAAAAAACAAAAAACAAAACCCCCACACATCTTCTAAATGACTCTATCAGTCAGAGTCCTATTTAGAAGAATCAGTAAGATTTTGAAATTTGTTCAGGATATAAGCAGAAACTGACTCTTAAGATTCTAAAGAAATGTTTTTAAATGCATCAGAGTATATAATTCATCATAATATGTCAAATCTAGACAAAAACAAAAGGTAATGCTAACTCAGTTATTTAAAATTAAACTGTAATTAATAGAATCTTAATGAAAAAGTGTAAGGATTTATTTTTTGGCATATTTTTAAATTACATTTTTGTAGCTCTATTTCTTCCCCATGGAAAAGACTTCCTTAATTCTCAAAGATAAAGGTGAGGAAATAATTCCACTTTAAGAGCTGGAGATTGTTTCTTATCCCAGTGTTTGTATTTTTCCAAAGGATTGACATATTTATTAATAGTGTAATTTTTTTCTGATGTTAGTATTTATTCAAGTATTTTTCTTCTTCCTCATTTTGAGAAAAGAAGTATTAATGTGCTAAGGAACACCATCATTTCTTAAATCATTTCCTAAAATGCATTTTTAAATTTAGAATTTTAATTTTTAAATGAACATGGAAATTCATTTTAACTTTGTGCTCTTATCCTGCATTATCAACATGACAATGAATTAATGACAAAGCAATCTATATTTTACAGATTACATATGCATGTATATCAAATATGAATATAAATAGCATATAAATTTCATCAAGAAAGATGAAAGAATGGAAAGGGTCTCTCTGTATTTTGATCCTGTAGTTATTTTAATGGTGACATCACCCTACAGCTTGTTGACTCTATTATCTGCATCTTTATATGTATGTATGTGTGTATATACTATGGATAGAGCTTTTCTACATAATTAATGTTAACTGGAGTCTATTAATTCTGTCTAGTATGGTTTGTTTCTCTTAACATATGTCTGTTTTCTGTTACATAGGAATTTTGGATACATCCATTCGGAAAGTTGTAACAGAGAAACCTAAAAGAAATGAAACTAGTGTTCCTTCAGAGCAATTGCTACCAGTAAAAGAAGTGAGTGAGGAAAAAAGGGTCGTATTTTTTTACTCATCTATTATAACATCATATATCTGTGAATACATTATGAATCAAAATATCTTGAGTTTTACCATTTGCCACTAAAAAAAAAAATGATTCCTGGTTGGAAATTAGCTTATAAGTTTTGGGACACCTGCATGGCTCAGTTGGTTGAATGTCCAACTTCAGCTCAGGTCATGATCTCACCATTAGTGAGTTCCATCTCCACATTGGGCTCTGTGCTGACAGCTCAGATTCTGGTTTGGATTCTGTCTCCCTCTCTCTCTGCCCCTTCCCCACTTGTTCTCTCTCTCTCTCTCTCTCTCTCTCTCTCAAGTATTAAAAAAAATAGAAAGAAACAAAGGAGATTGTATGAGCTGAGTGGATCCAATTATTAACTAATTTATGTAAAAATAAAGTGAGAAATGTGTTTTCAGGCCCTCTAATGTTAAAGGTCCAAATAAACTTTACAAAGGAAAGTTCAATTACAACATAATTATATAATGAAAATGGGAGCCACTTTTTTGACTATAGATTTGATTATTGATTATAGTATACACAAAAAGCACCAAATAAATGCTGTACAGGATGTGTGTATACAAAAACTAAGCTAATGGTCATAATCTCAGTAATTTTAAACCTATAGAAATCATCCAGATCCAGAAAAATAAGTACTTCAGTCAGGTACTTTAAGCTTAGAGTCTTCTGAAGTTGGAGTAGGTGAATTATTACAGTAAACAAGATTACATTAAAACAGGGAGAAAGTAATGCTAAGCACAGGCTCACCTACTTAATGTTCTTAGTACGTAAGAGAACATCGGGGGACTTGGGAAAAGGATACATTCACAATTAAGCTGAGCCAAACTATAAGAAAAAAGAAAACAGAACACCACCAGCTTCCATTCTCTCCAGTCTCCTGCTCCTTCCACACAGAGCAGTGCAGATAATTTTAATTCCTCATTTCTTGGAACAAAAATGGTGTTGCTTACCACTTTGTGGGTGACGAAACGAAATAAAACTCAAAGGAAAAAATCCAAGAAGGTACAGTGATGGATTTTCTTTGAGAAATTTCTTGTTGCTATTTTTTGGCTGTCTGTATTTCTGAGAGTGAAAAAGAAATAGAAGATTGAATATTAAACTCTGTCTTACATTGCAATACTTGTTAACAATAAACTATAAAAAAGCCTATAAAAATCTAATTTAGGCTTTATTAACTATATTGAATTTAAAGGTTGCTTTATGTGATAAATAGTAAATGTAAGTTTTAACTCTCATAAAGATAGTTTTATTGAACTGTATTTAAGAGATTAAATTTTGAAAAAAGTTTCTGATTAAATCCACTGAAGAACTAAAATGAAATGCCAGTATATTACTCTGTGTAAAGAATACACATGTTTTTGTATATTGCTTTATTCACTGGGTAATATTTTTCAGGTTGTAAGAAGGCTTTTGCCATTTATCAAAGAATGCCCATATTCAAATACTGAAAGTAATAATTTTATATCTATAACAATAGGAACACTTGTTGCCGAGTTAGGAGTAATATAACTTCATATAAATTTATATTTCAGGCCGCTTTACCAGATTTTGGTTGGCGAAATGCGTTTAAAAAGGTGTCTCTTCCCGTGGCACATTGTATGCCAGCAGCAATTGAAGACTTTTCCACAAAAACTCTCCAACAGGAGCAGAATGAAAGGTCTTCGGCTGCAACCTATGCTATGAACCTTGTAAATGTCCAGCCAGTTTGGCAAGACAGTCACGTGGTTCCGGGGGAGGACCAACCAAAGAAAATTGCAAAGGCAAGTATCAAAGGAAGTCCTTTGAAACTGTAGACTGGTGTAATTAGATTTTTTTTTTTTTTAACATATAAGACTTTGCAAAGGGAACCTATAGAAAAATGGTGGAGTCTCCTGGTAAATATTTAGTACTTGACCCAATACCAGCTTTCTTCTCTGGCGTGCATGGGCCACTGCTAGCAAAACAGACTGAGGCTTATTCCCAACTTGTTGCCCCATGAGCCTCAGGACCCGCGAGGACAGGCTTCTGTGACTTCACACAGAGCTGGGAAAACTACTTGTTTGAATTTTTTCTTTGAATGATTTCAGAAGAAATTGAGGAGGTTGAAGGAATTACTGTCTTTGATTGGTCTAGGCAACTTTTAAATCTTTATTTACACATTAATGCACATTCCATTACATTAGCATCCGTCTTGCATCTTTATGTGTGCCTTGAGAGTTTCGGAGCATACTGAGAAAATAGGAAGTAATCACAGAAATAAATAAATACAGTTACTCAGTATTAAGTCCACAATGAGTTTGGCAACCTTTGATTGGAATGTTTGTAAAGGAGCATTCTTTCTTTTTTTAGAAAAATGTTTTCATTTATTTTGAGAGAGACACAGCAAGTGGGGGAGAGGCAAAGAGAGGGGGAGACACAGAATCTGAAGCAGGCTCGAGGCTCTGAGCTGTCAGCACAGAGCCGGACACGGGGCTTGAACCCACAAACTCTGAGATTATGACCTGAGCAGAAGTCAGATGCTTAACCGACTGAGCCATCCAGGCATCCCTGGAAAAGAGCATTCTCAAAAATGTCCTCCTTATTTGGATCCTGCCAGAACATTCCCCTGGGAACACTGTTGGGAAATTGGGAGTGCAGGGAAGTCTTGCCTTCCCACCCACCATACTTCCTTTGCCAATAAGAAAGAGTAGATTCATAATAACTACTGAAAAGCCAGGCACATTGCTTCTGGAAACTGCTGACTCCTTACCAGTAAGAAGATGTGAGGTAATATTGTTTCTGATGCTTCTAGATTGTTTAAATTAAGTTGATATAATCTTATGTATATGTGGTGATTAATAAAAACTTACTTTATGAAACTTCAGCAAAAACAAAATTAGATTAAGTTCAAAAATAATACAACCGTATTAATGCCAAGGATTCATGTTTTCTGAGTTCTATGAACTACAAATAAAGTATTGTCATGTAAAGCTACTTAAAGAGTTTTTCATAATGTCTGTCTGGTAAGCATAAGACTTGAAGGTTATACGTAGGGAAGCATCATTGTGGGATTTCCTTATTTGACATAAAACATTTAACTTTATATAACTGAGAAATTGATTGTTACAAAGTTGTGTCATTATATTTACATTTGATGCCAAATTCACTATTTAGGAATTTGGCTCCCCTGTACATAAATTACACGGTGCTGTCAGAGTACAAATAACTCAGTGCTACATTTATTTCTCCCTAGTTTTGTTCTGACATCATGGAAAAACTTGACACAATGCTTCCACTGGCTCTGGCATGCAGAGATGATTCTTTCCAGGAAATTAGAGCAAACTTTGTGGAAGCCTGTTGTAAAGTGGCTGCAGCTGTCCTGGCCAGACTGCAGGAGAGAGGCAAGGAGTTCCCTTCCAGAGCACCCCTGACGAACCTACACACGCTGCTCTCCACAGCGGTGTATGTCTTCCAGCGTTTTACGCAGTATGATAATTTGATGAGAGATAATACTAAGAAGTGAGTGTCATTTAAATTAAGTTGATGGCCATGCTTAAAGTAACATGTAATCTTTGGAAATCACAGGAGCAAAATTTTGATGACAATATTCAAGAAGGAGAAAATAATAATGGACGTGGCACATTATATTTTCATTTGCCTTGACGACAAAATGTCAGAAAGGTAGAGCATAGGGCATGTTAAACCAGATACACAGGTATGTGAGAGACAGGTATTCCTTTGAAAGACGTACTCCAAATACCCATCTATTTACCATCTAATCTGGAGCAACTATTTTCCACATGCTTTTATGACACGAGTAAACAGACACTCTCCATTTTGCAAGGCACGCCACTGTGACTGCCCCGGAAAGGAAAACTGAACTTGATTCTGTCCCTTGTGTTCACAGTTGTGAAATATGCACTTCTATTTTTTTGTTTCTGGACGTCAAGACTGACAGAGAGAATAAACACATTTTCAATCTATCCTATTGACCAATGTAAGCATACTTCAAAACATCCATTTAGTAAGAAACTACGCTTAACATGTGAGGAGAAACCATCTGGCAGTCTTAATTCTCACGTATTAGTCTAAAAAGACTGTATGTTTTCTGGAAATGGAATAAAAATGGCCACATGGTCTTTCTGGCTACTCGTGGCCACTCTAGGAGATAGCACAGCCCCTTGCGAAGGGAACATGTGGACCTGGCTGTCCAGCGTGAGGCCAGCAGTCTCTTCTGTGTCCTCACTCAGCATTTGTAGTCTCTTAGCTCTGAGAGAAAGCATTAGAAAGTGTAATATAAATAACTAAAGATAAAAGTAAAATAAATTTGGCTTGATGCAGAATATAGCTCTGCTATTTAATTCTCGTAAGTAGTCAGATGTGGTGACTCATAGTTGAATTTATAAACAAAATGTGCCAGAAGTCGCTTTATTTCCATAGAATATTTTAAAACAGCTTATGAGATAATTGACATCTACAAAATTGCAATTTTTGAAACAAAAGAAGTGTGTTTGTGGGACGTGTGATCGCTTTATAAAAGTTGGTTCTGACAAATGCATGTTGTTCTCTATAATAACGATACCCTAATGCCTAAATAATGCACTGATCTCTAATAATAGGCTTACAAAGAATACTTTTATTTTTGAATGATGTATTGACAATGCAGTTTGTCTCAAGTTGAAGCGCATATTTGTGGAACAGCAGATGTACGTTTTCAAAGGACTTGCAAAAACAAAGACCAGCTTTTTTTTTTTTTTTCCTTTTTGAAAAGTGAATGTGGATGCAGACTTCAGCATCAGGAGGAAATGAATGATTGATATCTAATAATCAAAACCATTTGTAGTACTGGAGATTGTTACCGCCTACTGCACAGGCCTTAAATCTCTGTCTCTTTGATCATTGCCTCTGAACAGACCCATATTCCTGGTGCCTGTCCAACGATATCAGGAATTCATCAACACTCTACAGTTTCAGGTTACGGACTACTGCGTCAGAGTCTGTGCTACAAGCATTTTACAGGATGCTGAGAGCCACCACTGGGATGACTACAAAGCTTTTTATGAGGTGTGAAGTTAAGTTTACTATCCCTCCTTTTTACACAAATATGTTTTACTGCCTACCTGCTTTCTGGCTAATTAGAAACATGAGCTTGGCATTACCAACACACGAAGGCTGTGAGGATAATATTTTTTAAATATTGAATTTGTACTTGGGAAAAACACTTTTTAAAAACCTGAAATAACTAGACATCAGAACTCTCCTTCTGCTTAAAAGTAAAAATAACTTAATTTGAGCTGCAGCATGTGCTATATAAGATGGAATATAACGGGATACAATGAGAAAGTCAAAGAGATAACAATGCCAATTTAGTATTTTTTTTCTAAAGGGGCCAGTTATAGATATTCCTGTGCTTTTTTTCTTATGTATTTCTGTTTTTGATATCTTTTATTAAGCCATTTTATTCTTTATACATATTTTTCCGTTCTCATTGTATGTTCTTATGAGGGTGCTTTAAGACCCATCTGATCATTTATAGCTTACCTATTTTCATTTAGCCCATGTTTTGAAATCCCAAATTTCTACTGAATTAAAGCCTAATGATTCCCAGTGCAACCAAACCCAGGATCAATTAAAATTATTCATCATCAGGCTTCATTAGTTTCCCTTCTCCTAAATCCCATTGATTATACATAAGCCACAATATTTGAAATTCCTTGAAGTTGATTTCAGGGCAGGGTGAAACATTTATAATGTCTTAATAAAAGATAATCAGAGTTTTTACAAAATTCATCAGTCAAGCCCAACTTCATTAGCTTTTCCAACTTACCCTTTCCTCTGGATTGAAGCTTATGATTTTTGTTTTTCCTGACTGTCCTAATCTCTGTGGAGTACTGGGAAAAACAGACTGGAGTCTTATTCAACGGAGTTACCCTTGTCAATTCCCTGGCACTGAGGGGTTCTTTGGCTCTATTTATGCCTGAGTTATTATCATAATAAATGTTGCCGTAACAGAGAGAGGTGGCTAAGAAGCTCTTTTAAAGGACTTTCCACTTATTCTAAGGCCATTTCGTCTGTCCTTCAGAGGCCCTTCCCAGATAGTTTTTCTTTTTGCAAGAGCATTCATACAAGGTTTTCCAAACCTGACATACTTCAAACAGCAGTGAGCGGAATGAGAACGAGAAAGTGGCACAGTGCAGCTGGTAGCTTGAGATAAGAATGAAAGTATCGGTCTTCCTCTCTTGGCAGCATCACAGCTTCCTTATTTGCCTTGAGGTAAACAGAGAGATTGAAAATGAATCTGTCTCCTGTTTCAAACTATTTCAATATGTCAGTGTACTAATGAGCAATTTCATACGATGTTTTCATTGAGGAACAGGTATCATTTCACTGTACGTCCACCACAGGGCCATTATGTTCCCTCTTATGCAAATTGGGAGCCAGAAGAGTTGTACAGTATAAATAATAAGTGGATGCATTGAGAACCTGGTATTGAAGTTACCAAGTATTAAAAACAACAACAACAAATTACCATGTAACATGCAGCTCTTAGATCTTATGACAAGGCTTTAGCTTCGAAGACAGAAATAACGAGATAGTTACCCTGTGATTACATAGTACTGTGGCTTCCATATACTTACGTGGTCAGTAGTTACAATTTAATTGCAGAGCTAGTAGCTGTTATTTATGCTCAGAAAAATAAAGTGATACTGCTTTTCTATTTACCAAAAATAAGAAACTTCTAAAAATAGCACAGATTTTAAACTGTTTTGACAACTGGAGTACTTGACATGGTTTTATCCCGTTCGCTGCACCCTTTTCTTCTCCTCTCCCCATTATTCCAGCTGATTTGTGAAACACGACCGGTATGGTTTTTGGCAGGGCTGTTTTGAGAGGAAAGGAGGCGAAATCTGCCTGACTGGAGGCGAAGAGTGGGATAGAGATCTCAGGGGAGCATATCGCCATGTGCAGAGTGTAGTAAGGAAACAGTGAAAGAATTTACAAGATATGAAGCAATATTCGTTTGTGGTTTGTGATATCCAGTGAGCCCCAGACACATTATGTCCATTTTCTAAACTGTCGGGTTGAGAGAGTCAGAGACTTCGGTATCTGTCTGATGAGGTGCTGGTCAGATGGCATGGTGGGTGTTCAGATTACATGTTTAAAATTAAGCTTTTAGTATAGTTGACATCTGCTCAATTTTAGCAACTTGTGTTTTCCAATAGTCAAAGAATAAAGAATTGTCTGTTCAAAGATAATATTGAATGCCTTATATAATAAAGCCCAGCTGCTTGTTTCCTGATATATAATCTAAATAAAAGCTCACATCTGTTTACATTATAGTGGGTCTACAAAAATAACAGATGTTTACTAGCAGAATACTTTTGAAATAACAACAAATAGGGAAACAGGTCAGAAAAATAAATGAATCCCAGTTAGTTTAATGAAAACCTTTCGTACATCACAGCATGACACACTTTGAAGAGAATTGTGAGAATGATGACCAGTTTGGAACGTCTTTAGATAAATACAAAGTTTGTATTTTTAAAAGTCTAAAAATAAGTATTTTTCACTTCTAGGGAAGGAAATCTGCATACTTCAAGTTATTTTTATTTTCTCATTTATTGGTAACTTTTAAGGAAATTGGCTTTTATTTTGAAAAATACAAGAAACCCTGTTGGCCACGTTATTAGAACCACCCATACATTGCCATGGAGAAAGTTAGTGTAAATCATTCATACTAGTCATGATGTCAGCTGGGCCAATTTTGCTGTAATTAACCTACAACACAAAAAGTATGAGAAAATCAAGCTTTTAAACTTCTTTCTTACTTTAGAAATTTTTTTTTTTTTTATTTTTGAGAGAGAGAGAGAATGAGTGGGAGAGGGGCAGAGAGACATGGAGACAGAGGATCTGAAGCAGGCTCAGTGCTGACAGCCACAAGTCCAATGGAGGCCTCCAACTCACAAATGATGCGATCACAACCTGAGCCAAAGTCAGACACTCACCCAACTGAGCCATTTAGGCTCCCTTTTAGGAAATTTTAAAAAGTATTCCTTATCAGAGAACAACAGCAAAAAAGCTTAAGAAACTATGATTTCCCTACTCCCACACAAATTTTGTAATTTTTTTTCTTAAACAGTTTTGATACACATCTAGTTTAGAAGTCAGGAGTGGTCAATACCTCCTCTTTTGACCTTGACTCATAGACATTTTGATGCCTAGTTTCCCACCCAAGTCTACCCGTTCTACTCATTTATAAACTCCATTTGAAAGTCAATAGAAAATAATTATAGATTATTATTACAGTGACTACAAAAGATTTTAGTAATCATGGAAATTATCAGAATAATATGTAAGGAAAATACTGATAGATATTTCTGCATTAGAAACTATCAACTTTTGATATAAGAGTACAGTACAGCAGATTTTTTTTTTATATAAGGTTTGAGGAATATGAGTAGTTAGCAAAGCAAAATTTTAAGTCAAAGAGGATTGCTTAGGGCTAAAATGGGAAGTTTTACTCATTTAACTTTTGATATAGTAACAATCAGGGTAATATTTGAAAAACTCATTCAACTCTGCCTATTTCAAGTAATTTTTTAATCTGGTTTGAGGAAAATGAGGTCAAACTACTAGCCTACCTCCCTAAAAGCATGTTGACTAATTAATGCTTGTAAATCACTTGAGGCCACTTCTCATTTCTGCCTGTTCCCACTGGCCTTGGCAGCTGTTGGGTCTTCCTCTTTGGTCAGGGAAAATTTGGTATGCAGAAGGGGTCTGTAGGGGGTGGAAAGGAATGAGAATCTGGCCCCTTGTACCTATGAAGTACTCTGAAAATACTAAGACGTGATGATATTATTAACATCTGCCTAAGATTTACAAAATCTTGTAAAATCTGACGATTGTAGTGTCTGTTTCTAACATTGTTATTAGAACTCCATGAATGGAATAGCCTAATGTAATAATCTTTAATAGTTACCCATGCTCCTTGGTTTAATGCATGTTGACAAGTGTGTGGTATGTAAGTTTATTTTTACTTCTGTCATTTCATAATGTGAAATCTCAAGCATTTATAGGATGACCTCAATGATGCTAATAGTCTCAGAAGAATATGCATATTTAAAACAACTTATATTACTAAAATTTAATTGTAGGAGCATCAGCCCACCATCTTAAATGAGCATGACTTGTTTGGCACCTGTAAAGCTGATTGCTTAAAATGAATTTTAAACTCCAGGCTATGAGTAGGTAAATCAAGATATGTTAGGTTAAAGACTTATGCTCTGGATTTGCACTAGAATATCTGGTCTCATAATTGAAATAAAACACATGTTCCTTTGTCAATAAGGATGTTTTACATCTTGTCAAAAATCTTTCTTGGTCATCTAGTGTGTCAAACTCTCCAGCTATTTCCTTTCAGCCTGAACTAATTATGTTCATAGGAAGCTAACTGACATTTTGGAAGATGTAGTTCTGTAGTTTAACGTGTGGTGGTTTTGCCAGGGGGAAAGATGCTCCTTCTCACTCCAGATGTGGCACTATTTCTTCTGCGCTCTTCACCATGATCTCTGGACCATTATGCCCCCTAAGTTAGCCCAGGAGATTCTAACAGACGTGCTGGAGAAATGTTTGGGTCTACTGGCCTCCAGATATGCTCGGGCCCATCCCAGTTATAAGAGAACTCCGCAGATAAGGTAATTGAAGTTGTGAAAACCATTGCCTTTCAAGAAAACTCTTTCATCAACTGGTATAAAGCAGAATGTAATTCTAAATCTCATGACATAGCTCCTTGTGTATTTAATATGTTTCTAACATCTGAAAGGAAATCATATTCAATTCTCCTGAGATACTGAAGTGGAAATGTGGAACTTGAATCAAAATAACTGTGTTCTTTTTTCTTCTTAAAATGGTATATAGAACCCACTAGTTTCTAGAAAAGGATTCAGGATGTATTACAATCTAAGACACTTATATACAAAGGTTAATAAATAATATAAAGACGGAAAATTGAGGCCTGGATATGGAGAAAAAAGTAGCAGTTCTGTGATGGGGCAGTTAATTTGACTTTGAGATTCTCAGCAACCAGGGGATTTCACTTTCTGTTTGTAAGCCTTTAAATAGTGTAGTTTATCTTCATTAAGGAAACTCCTTTGTCTAATAATTTTTCTTCTTGATATATTCTAATTACCTCTTTTTAATTTTTTGCCCTTTTTTTCATCATGTACTACTAAAAGCCAGTTTAACAAAATGTGAAAGCACAGAAAATGAGGAGCAGCAGTCATGGGATATTAATGACTAAATTATGGTCCAGGTCTATGAGGCATCTAGGCAATGACCATTACAAAAATGTGCTTACATGACAACAACGGTCCATATGAAGGAAAGGCTTTTGTTTTATAAATATTCTCACCAATATGATTAAGATCTGTTTTTTAGGGTATAAAAGATTTTTTTAAGATATGTTTTTGAAGGACTCTAAAGACATCGGAGGGGTTTTGGTTTTGTTTTGTTTTGATTCTTTTTTGCAGTGGGAATCATTTCCTGATCACATTCTTGTAAAGCATGCTGCATTTGAAGGGTATTTAGGTCCCGCTACGGTGTTTCATAAATATGGTATTTTGCAAAGGCTGTTTTGAATTACTGACCAAGCATTTTTAAATCATTGACCTCTGAAGAATAGATGGAAAGGCTTTCTTTGAGAGCAAAGGGTACCTTCATTCTTTTCCTTATGTAGGTTAAATCACTTTTGACCATGAGGTGGCAAGTCATTATGAGATGTTTGTGAAATCAGATTTACTGTTAGCTCATGAATTGGGTAGTATATTTAATTAACTGTACTATAGAGACTTTTGGTTTTTGTTTTCTGGATGGTTACATAAAAGTGCCATGAAATGCTAGAGTTATTTCTTCTAGTTTTTTAAAGTAAAATAAATTGTTTTATTTGAATGGTTAATACTAAACCACCATTACTGTGGAAATCAGATTGTGTGTGTGTGTGTGTACATATCTTCAATTTGTAATTCTTTAGTTAACAATTAGAGCAAGTGGTTAACAATTAAACCTTCCTAAAGGTGATTATTGATGTATTCTAGTAGCCTCCAACTGTCATATGGCCAAAGCTATATATATGTAATATGTAGTATATTTATAAATTTATTTCATATATATATATATATATATATATATATATATATATAAACTTGAGGCTAAAATGTCATTTTAAAAGATCCTCAAACTTATTTGTTCTCTTACCACTTCATAGTTTCTATCTTCTATTACTTCAACACTGAATTGAAAAGAAAAACATGAGGAAATTAGGCTTGTAAAATTTAGTCAGTCATATACCACAATAATCTTTGATCAGATCTTTGGGTCTCTGTTAAAATAAAGGAAAGATTGAAACAATGAGTTAATGAATAACAGTATATAATACAACAGAGTTTCCACAAACTTCTTTCCTATGGCTTCTCCATTTGTTCTTCTGGTCCCATTTTTTCTCATCTCCCACTTGCTGGGGAAGCGTGTTACCCAAGCTTGTAACTTCCTTTTGACAGCTTGTCGTTGGATAAGAAGAATTATCCTATCAGAAGTTTACCTATCATATACATGTGGGCAGTAGCAAATTTTCTTTTAATCTGACTCCTCTTTTGCTAGACATAATTTCAAGGAAAGTGTCTTGAGCTTCTTGACCAGTAACCTAGTAATAAAAAATAAACCTTATAAAAAAGCCCTCCCAACACTTGTGGGGATGCGCACTGGGTATTATATGGAAACCAACTTGACAATAAGCTATTTGTAAAAAAAAAAAAAAAAAAGCCCTCCCAAAACATGTTAGTATTATAGACCTCACTGTTGCTAAAGATAGCAATATATGGATCATCTAACACCTGGAAACTCAAATGCTAAGCTATTTGATGCTTTCTATTTGTCTTTGATTTCTGAATCTCTGCTTTCTAACCAAATATTTCTATGCTTACATTTGTTTAATATAAGAGATATGGATGTTAGTGTATGTACCAGTCAGAGAAACAATTTTGCTTCACATGATTTTCTTTTTTTTCTCTTTCCAATAGACTTGATGTCACGACAATTTTAATATGCACTGAGAACTTGCTTTGGTCAGTTTGCACATCTGTACAGAAGCTTTTGAATCCTCTTGAATATAGAGATGATAAAATTTTTAAAATTCATACCCACTGTAATAATCTGTTTACAACATTAGTTGTTTTGACTTCACCATTAACTGAATTATATCAGTAAGTATCAAAGATTTTTTTTAGCTATTAAAATATATAATGTGACTTAAAGTTTTTCTTATACTACTTATTGAATTGTGTGAAGTAGCAAGTAGAAATATTTTGAAGTGCATTTTCGATATTATGAGTTGGGCCATTTTACAAAATGAACTAATATTGTGCTGTATCTCTATTGATCAATCTTATTCAGATGCTAAGGCTCTGATAGGACCAGGATTACCTTGAGCTTCACTATTTGAATTGTTTAAATGATTGTGTTAATGGACAGTTATTTTAATCATAGCTGGATACTCTATGAAAAAGAAAATCATATTTTATGACTTTTAAAAAATAGTTTTTAGGGGCGCCTGGGTGGCTCAGTCGATTAAGCGTCTGACTTCAGCTCAGGTCATGATTTCATGGTTTGTGGATTCAAGCCCCGTGTCAGGCTTTCTGCTGACAGCTAGCTCAGAGCCTGGAGCCTGTTTCAGATTCTGTATCTCCCTCTCTCTCTGACCCTCCGCTGCTCACACTGTCTCTCTCTCTCTCTCAGAAATAAATAAAACATTAAAAAAATAGTTTTTAGTTTTAATTTTATGTAAAGTAATTTGCTTTAATTGACAAATTTTAAAAGGTGATTCTAAAATATTCCCAAATCTGGAAGAAACCTAATGGTTTCACATTGTCAGTTAGTCTGCCATAGATTTGCATTTTTAATAGTAGGCTGAGTTGAGTGCCTGGCGAGTATTGGCTAGTGGGAATAGAACTAAGTAATTGAATTTTTATTTTAGGTCCGTCTGTCTGTCTACCTATCCATCTATCTATCTACCCTTTTTTAAAAAGTAAATTATATGCCCAGTATGGGCTTTGAACTCACAACCCCGAGATCAGAAGTCATGTGCTCTTCTGACTGAGTCAGCCAGGTGCCTCAGCAATTGCATTTTTTTTTTTTTTTTTTTTTAAGGAGAAAGAAGTTTATTGAATACACTGCAAGGAAGCACCAGGCAAAAGATCAAAGGAGAGACTGCCTGCCAGGGGCTAGTGGTAGGGGCTACAGTTACAGGGGTGGTAGTGAGGAGGTATGAGAATGTATTTAATTTTCCTTTTTTGGTACCTGTGCTGGGTTGTAAGTAGCCCACTGGTCAGCTAAGGCAGTACTGAGGGGAGTTGTTTAAAGAGCCTGTTTGCATTCAGTTCACTTGTCACTGTGGGCCCTTTTACCCATTGCTCAAGGCATTTGCCTAAAAGTGGCCTCTATATTCCCCCCTGACAGATCAACAGTGACACGTCCTTAGCATTTGGATGGAGGTCTCATCTTCATTAGCTGCTTCACACCGGACAGGGGAAGCACCTGTCCTTACCTAAAATTGTCAGTCCATCAGAAGTTCTGTACGGTTATAGACCAGAGCATGATATTAGATCAACATGATGATAGGCAATTTGAGTTAAATTCCTTGGTGGCCAGCTCCATGGGATTTGGAGGGAGAGGATCCTCTGATGGTATGAGCTGGGATCCTTGTTGAATCATGGAATTGTTGGATACACTCAGGCAGGTAGTAACAGATTTTGCCTGTGGATCAAGATGGTGGCTGCATTCTCAGTAACAAAGGGAAATAAGAGGGGCAGAAAGAAGCAAAGTGGCTGAGAGATAACCAACATCAGGAAAGGGTTCCAACAAATTCCCTAATGTTTGAGTTGATCCTGGATGAGCTGCCACACTTTGGGAAGAGATGCCTCAGGGGGATGGAACGGGAGAATAGAGGACAGGGGTCCTTCACCCTCACAAGCATGGGCAGTCCAACTTGTTCACCCTCAGACCTTCAGACCACACCTGGGAGTCACCTGGGCCAGAGATCTTCAGTTGTATGAGGAGTACTAGGGTTAGATAACAGAAGAGCCAAAAAGAGTAAGGGGAGGGAAGGAAGGGTCCTTCCAAAGGGAAAAAGGGGAACTGGTTGTCCCTGGAGTTTGGATCCTCATGGAGGAATAACCTCCTCTTGTAGTCTTCAGTTTCCCAGGGAGTCCTAGAATCTGTCCACTGATGGAAGAGTCCCAAGAAATTCCCAGAGAATCCAGGCAAAGTCCCAGGCCAGCAGAGGTTCCCTGTGAGAGCCACCAAATGTGGGGCAATCCAATCAACTGAAGGCTGGTGGCAGGGTGTTGAAAGAACTCACCAAAGGCAGAACAAAGGAGATAGAAGTTCATTGAATACACTGCAGGGGAACAATGGGCAGGACAACCAAGCAGGGACTCAAACAGTGCATTGTATTTTCATTTTTACTTTATTTTAAAATGTATTTATTTTGACAGAGAGAGAGAGTGTGTGTGCATGCAAGTGGCACAGGGACAGACAGAGAGAGGGAGAGAATCCCAAGCAGTCTCCACACTGTCAGCACAGAACCTACCGTGGGGCTTGAGCCCCATCAACTGTGAGATCATGACCTGAGCCTAAATCAAGAACCAGGCGTTCAACCAACTGAGCCACCCAGACGCCCCAGCAACTGTTTTTTTAAAATGTTGAAAGCGTTTATATAGTAAATAAGATTTAGGAAAATTAAAAATTTTGAACTACTTTCCTGGTTTGTTTCATTCAAATGGTAATATTGTAGAAAAGTTTGGAGTAGATCTTATAATAAAATAATAATATGTTTGTTTAAATTCTCCTCCAAAATAGTCACTTTATCTTGAGAGACTAGATAATTGCATATTCTCAGTTTCTTGGTTAGGAAAAATAATTCATATTTTTATTTCTTAGGATAAATTAGATAAAGTATTCCTCTCTGGAGGATTCTGGTAGGAGAAATATATAAATCTTGATTTTCAGTAAATTTTGAGACTCTTTTGTTAGAAATTCTAAGAGTAATTAACAAGTTTGACTTCACCTTCCCTATAATTTTCACCCACTCTTTGACTTTCAACAAACCCATTGTTTATAGATTGTTTCTTCTGGCAACCCTACCGTTGAGAACTAATTTTAGAAATGGAGAATTCTTTCAGAAAGGGAAGAAATAGTAAGATAAATTGCTGTAAGTTTGGGATTATATGCATAATAGTGCATATAATGCATAATAGTTCATAATCATAAAAAGCTCAAGGTCTGAAGCACATAATAAATCCTAGTAAACTAAACTGATTTACCATAGATGAAAAAATTGCTATGCTCTTAGTTCAACGGGTCATTTCATCTGAGAGGAAGGCCCTGTGAAAATCAGGAACAAAGTTGACAAATTTCATGGATTGGTCATGGTGAGCAATATTGAATTTCATGGTTTGTCACAGATGAATAGAAAACTCTTAACCCCCCAATGCATTTGTAAAACAAATAAATTATTATCAAAGATTGGATATTTTGATAATAATAATGCAACATACATTCATTATTGTTAACCCATGGCCTTTTGATTCATTTTTTAACAACTATGCAAGTACTCAAATCTCTGTGATTTGTGCATTAGATATTGCACTGTAACCTCATTCAACAATTTAAATTGCTAATTTCAACCAGGATTACAGAACATTTTACACCAAGCACCACCTCTGGTTTTTCTTAATATAAAACATAGATAGCTGCATTGCCTTTAAGCATGAGTAAAGTCTAGCTACGTTCCTTTTTAATGTTTCTCAGTTCATATAAATTTTCACAAATTGTATCCATTCATGTTGATTTAAATGTTATGACTGTTTTCCTAGAATAGCAATGTAATCTTTGAAATATATTTTGCTTTATATTGACAAAGAATATCTACAGGGCGGCATGTTCTCCACCAAATAGGAAAAAATTGTATGTTGCAAGGACCCTCTTGACTTATTGAGCTTCTTTTCACAGCCAGGGTATGAAATTGTCATATTATTAGTATTGAGGAAAAAATGTATCTCTAGCTCACATTTAAAAATTAATCTGTGCTTTGAGGAATTGGTGAAAAGTAACAATCAGATGTTCATCGTATTGAACTGGTGAAAAGTAACAATCGGATGTTGATAGTATTAAATTTTTTATAAACTGTACCTGACATTTGTCACTACATGCGATATGCCTTTTTGGAAGGTGACTGCTTTCTTCCAAGTAGTTCTGACAGATAAACCGAATGTATTTTCCTTTTTAGGAGTTTAGCGTAGGACCACTAAATCCCAGGGCAGGAATACATGATTTTAAAATCTTTTCAGGAAGAATGAAACCTGTTTGCAGAAGTGTGTTCTCTTTTAACTCTCCTTTGTAGATTTCTGTTAGAATGTTATAAAAGGAGTACTTTAAGTTTGTCCTCCAGGGAAGGAGACCTGCTAAAACATAAAATATTCACCGTGTATTTTCCAAAATGCCTATTGCTTGTAGATCTTTCATAAAGGCAGTTAAATTGCACATTCAGAAGTGTACTCAGTGCACACTCGCACACATACCCAAACACAGTTTCATATGTTGCATTAGAATGTTAATTTTAGGGGCACCTTGGTGGCTCAGTCGGTTAAGCACCCGACTTCAGCTCAGGTCATGATCTCGCAGTTTGTGGGTTCGAGCTCCATGTCGGGCTCTGTGCTGACAGCTCAGAGCCTGGAGCCTGCTTCCAATTCTATGTCTCCTCTTCTCTCTAATAAAATTTTTCATGTTAAGATTACACTTATTTACATATATATAGCCACTGTCCCCAGTGTTACATTTAGTAACAGGGAAGGATGATTTTCAGTACGAGTGTCAACATACCGGGCAAAGGCCAGAGTTATTGGAAATAGGCCAGAATATTGACCACTAGGACAAGAACAGCAGACCTATCTTGGGATTCGCATGGTACACTAATATGGCTTTGAAGAACTAAATTCCAACATATTTCCATGCTGTGTCTATCGTTTGGTTTCAAACCAACACTAGATAGTTATTTTGAGGTTATGGTCTTAGCCTTTAAATTTACTTATTGGTTTTAAATTATTTTGCCATCCCTCACACAGCAGGGCTAAAATTTCATTTTTCATATTTCTAGAGTGCCTGACATGCTTCAAAAACAGGTGGTTACTCAAAATGTTAAGCATAG